TCCGCGCCGGGGGAGTCTCCCCGGAATTACAGCCCCGACGTCAATCTGGGACCACAGCAGAAGCCTATCATTCAGATATGAAAGCCATCCACAAGGGCTCTTTTTTTTTATTTTTAGGAGGGTTCAATGAAATGAGATTAAAATAAATTTACATATATATCAATTTTATTATTAGAGTATATTCACACTAGTAAATAGAATTATTGGGAAGGGCAAGCTGCTCTGTGCATTGGACACAGAAATAGACCTCCTTGGCTTATCAGAAAACAAAGTTATTGTCTCCTTGTCAGATATAAATCTCTTCCTAGAGCTAATAAAGGGTTGGTGTTCAAATGCAATGTTTTGCCTGACTCCTACCTCACAGACCCGTGGCGCATAATACTAAATTATACCCCGCCGGGCGGCATCAATCTCGGGAGTCCGACATCACACGGAGAGGGAGATGAACCAAGTAATTGATGTGTGGAAAAGAAGGAGGAAAACTTATTTGAGAACAAATAAAATGGGCTATAAAGTTTGTTAAAATGTAATAGTAACAGTTAAAAAAAATAAAACAGAAAGGGAGATAGGAAAGAAACCAAGAACCAGGCAAGGCTGCATCCAGAAGCCTGCCCTCTGCACGGCCGTGAAACCATTCATTTCACGCTGCAAGTTTGCAGCAGGTATTTCCTTTTCAAATTAATGTTCACTGCAGAGAGGGAGTGTAGGGCGCTGATGGATGGGAGGTTGGCGGGGTACCAGCCAGACTCTTTCCTGTGCCGGCTGCAGGTTCCCCTCGGTGCTGCAGGGACGGGCCGGCAAGCCATGGCCTTGAACCTGCCCCCCCTGGCTGCAGGCAAGGCCTGGGTCCCAGGTCAGAGCTGCTGCTGCGTCTCAGAAATCCCTGGGAGGGGGGGACAAGGGGGGAGCCTGGCTGAGCCAGTGGCAATGGAATTCAGCAGGATGGCGGCAGGATTTTATTAGCGTTGTCTCCTGTACCATTTCTCCCTCTGTTCATTGGACTAAATTTGGGGACTATGAAGAAATCACCAAAGACGGAGATCTAGTTTGTGTCCCAGGTCATTTTGTGCAAGTTGGAAACCGCTCAGTGTGGCAGTTTTTAATTTTTTATTTATTATTATTTCTTAAACTCGACAGTTGTGTGTCCCACATCCAGAGGAGCCCCGAGGGGGTTTGGTCGTCCCTGGGAAAGCAGTGACAGGTGTCCTCGCACTGCATTTGGCTCCCAGTTGATGCCAGGTGTGTCTCTGGTTTTTGCCAAAGGCACAGCCTTTCCTCCAGGGAGCAGAGGGTAGAGCCACGGAGGGGACCCAGGCTGACAAAGTCAGGGCCAGGTGGCCCCTGCAGGTCAGCGGGCCTGGGAGCCGCTCAGATTTCCTAGGGGTGGGGGTGGGGGCCTTCCAACAAGCGCTGGCGGTCCTGCAGGCTGCCCTGGCGCTGGCAGGAATACCTTCCTCCTCTCCTCCCTGAGGCGCTCTGTCCGGTTGTGCCCAGTCCCTAGGTGTGTCTCCGAGGCACTTCGCCCCTGCCGAGCCCTCTGACCTTCAGCCATCCTCCTTCTCCTCATTGAAAAGCCCCTCGAAGGTTTGCTCAGTAAACCTGGGCTGGGAGCAGCTGTGTCCCTTGCCTGGGGCCAGGTGGAAGAGCCCAGGCCTGAGCCCAGCTCTTTGCTCTGTTACTTTGTATCCTTTCTGGAAGAGCCCAGGCCTGAGCCCAGCTCTTTGCTCTGTTACTTTGTATCCTTCCTGCAGCGCCAGCGCTTAGCACTTATCCCTGCTCCCCAAATGGCTTGAAAAGCTACATTCTCTCTGTTTTCTTCTCTGCCACGTGGAGCACTGACCTCTGCCCTTTACCGGGACAGCCCTCCTGCTGTGCAGAGTGACCGGGGTCTGTGTGCCCGCAATCCATAACCGGAAAGCGCCACCGGGACTCGGGCCGAGCTGGCTCCTCCTGGCGGGCCCCCTGTCCACGTGTCAGGCGTGGTTCGCCTTCTGGCCGGACCTCACACAGCCAGTCCCACACTCAGGCCCCAAACTCGGGCGTTGCCAGTTCGTCTGTTATTGCGGTCATCACGCATGTGATTCTGAACTCCTGTAACATGAAAAAGAGGCTAAGATGGCAAATACAGTCATACTCTGAAGGGGTGGCCGTCAGTATTTGCCACAGCAACTCATTATGTGTCGGTTCAAATCACTTACCGCTACTTAAAATATTTTTCTCTGATAGGAATCTGTTTACTTTTCCTGCCTTCGGAAGACATTTAGACGCCCGGGGGGTTGGAATTGGGGAGGATAGTTCCCTCCTCACCCCGCAGCCGTGGCGTTGGAGGTGACCCCGAAATAGATATAGACAAAACCTCCCGTTTGTCCAGACCTCGCAGAGTCCAGTGGGCGGGGAAACCGCCCTCGGGGCATTCAGTGGCGGGGTCAGTTATTCTCCGAGTGCTGGTTTGGCTCCTTGGTTGCGACTGTGCTACGTTTCGACCGTGCGGCTGTGGTTCGTTCCGCCAGCAAACCCCAGGCCCGTACAGTTTACCGGCCCGGGCGCTCTGCTTGGATTTGTATGCTCCTTGCGGCTTAGTTCCCCATGACACTGTGTTTTCGGGGCAACACAGTGAACCCCTTGGGTAATGGCTTTGCCATCGCTAACGTCTCCCAAAGCAAGAAGGATGCTACCATGTCTTAAGAGGACGGCAGAGGGACCAAAGGAAAATTAAAATGCAAACGAGAGAGGATCTCTTGCCTCCCTCCCTCTCTCTCATCACCACTCAGTCGTCCCAGGAAGCTCCCCCATTTCCGCCGCTGATCCCCGTGCGGATTAGGGGTGATAAACAGCCCATTAATGGAGGCCTGAGCTAGGAAATGGAGTTGGAATCAGCAGCGGGATGCAGCGCTGACTGAGGTTAATAACTCCATTACTCCAGCGCTGCGCCGCCCGCCCGCCGCGCGGGATCTTAGCCTTATCTCCTCCTCATTAATTGAGCTAATAGAACCCGGGTGACCCTGCCCGGCTGCCGCCGCCGGGGGTTTCCCAGGCGTGGGCCGGAATACTTATCACCGACCGCGCGCGCGCGTGGGCGCCTTCTGCTTGG